CTAAGAAAGTAGATGGTTTGTAGTTGTCAGAAATAACCTATGGTTCGAGGTTGACTGACCAACGGTAGCGAATATGAGCTTTGAAATTACATTATATAGGCAAAAATCTGCAACAAGGCAGATTTATGGGTTACTGAAAGAGGATCATTAAACGATTGGTAAGATTTAAGCCATAGTAAGATCATGTTATTATTCCGTTGTTTAATTACTATCATATGGCAGGATTTTGTCAATTTGCATTAGCATATGTCATAACTAAAACTCAATGTCTGTAACTACAGCTGCTACTTAAATGTAGTTTAATTCCTATGTAGTTTGTGAATCTGTAATTGCTCAGTTGCTGATACACATATTGACCTCCCTTTCAGTATTCTCGAATTTAGATGTGGAAATACTGAAATGACAGCTTGTAAACAATTTCCCCACAAAAAATGCCAAGGTTCAAAGACATCACATGACTTAGCCTATGTTCCAGATATTGCAAATCCGATTTCCCTATTTTCTCATCTTCCTCTTCTCATCTTTTTCTTGTGGTAAATTCATTTGCAATTTATAATTTTAAGCAAAATTCCACGATAATATTAAACCTTTAGTTTCCAATTCCAAAAGTGCTATCATTAAAAAATAAAGAATTGTAAGCTATTTTCGAAACTTTATTGCAAACAAATAGGTGAGGAATTTAATGCATTGAAATACGACAATTATGTATCAGGGTATTCGGAACGGCTTCAAAATTTAAAGAGAAAACATCTCGCAACCCCGTTACACGACTTTCAAACATTAAAAATAACTCGCAAGTAACTGCATGCATATTTTAACGAGATGCATGGCGATATTTTTAAGAGGTCAGTGTTACTCATTTGTTGCTCAATCCCCTTTCTGTATATCTTTTTACGTATTCTCATCATCGAGATTTTTTGAATAATTTTTCCATAATTAAATTATTTTTAAAAATTTAAAAATCTTGTTTCTAAAAGAAACTTTCAATTCAGTCTTCTGAAAGTGAAACACTTCCAGTTATTGCACTCTCTGTTTGATAAATTATCTCTGCATGTTTATTTTATTTAAGAAAGGCAAGTTTAAGATTCATTTGCCGAGATCTTTTGAAAAAATGTTTTTTTCAAAATTAGTAATTTATAAGGTTGTCGTGAATAATTTCCTACAGGGTAATAAGAGTAAAATCATACAAAAGTAAATCATTGTAATTAGCACTGCACGGACTGATATAAGTTTTGATCTTCATTCCTTCTCGAAATTAGACTCACTGAATCAGTTAGCTTAATTTTACATAATTCGCACGACAAATAGATGATGTCTGCTCGCCTTCAATATATGAACTATTTTTAGATCCAATTGACGTGCACGCAGGTGCGGCGTGTGTCCATGCGTGTTCGCATACCCTCGTATGTTGTGTGTGTGTGAGTTCAAGATGTGCACAGCGCCCCCACCCTCCCAGCCTCCTCCACTTAAAGCGACCACGAAGTAATTTAGGCCCGTTTATTTTTAGAGATTTTCTCTGGCCTGTATGCACGCATTCAGGAGGGGAATGGATGCGTGCATACAAGCCAAACGAGCGCACGCTGTTCTATTCTTAGACTTGCTCTCTATATACCTCCATTTCTCCCGTTCTCTCTCCCCTCAGACCGTTTGATGTTAGAGACAAGGGTAGCTTTTTAAAGACTTTTTAGAACTCTCACTCTTGTTTAAATTCATTTACAAGGAGTCCTCCGACACGCTATCAACTTGGTATAGGATTTCTTTATCTCACAAATATACTGAGAATACTGAAGGATAAAATAGCTCAGAATGTTTATGCCTACTGCAGTTGCAAAGAAAGATCAATTTAAGTCCAACTTAGAGGCATACTCATAAGTCTAAAATGATATAAAGGAAATATTTCCTCCCTAAGGATTCATTCAATAAAAAAACTATGGATGGTTTAAGAGTATGGCTTAAGGCAAGAAGAGCTCCTCGTAACAAAAGCAATCTTTAAATGCTCAGCAAAACTCACAGATGGAGTTCAATCTGTAAGCCAATTAATTCGACATTCTAATTCGCGATTCGCAATTACATTTTAGAAGCCCAACTAGCCTAATCATGGAAATGGAGTGGATCATTTGTGAAATGCTCATATCGTTAATTGAAATTTTTTAAAATCTTAGAATAAATTTAACAAAAGAGACCAAGAAGAGAGAAAAATAGGACAAAGGAAAATTAACAAACTGATAGCATGCGATAAAATAAACATTTTACTGAAATAATAATAGTAGAAACGTAAAAGTCCTAAATAGCAATTTCATAAAGAATGCCATCAATTGCTTCTATTTGGTAAAGTGACATTAATCGATGAAAGAATGATTACAAATTCTAAATTACAGCAAAGTCATTAGAAATCGTTTAATTAAAAGGCTGGATTGTGCAATACGTAGCTAGAATTATAAAACATATCGATTTGCACAGAAAGATATAATAAGGACGATTGTTTGCTCAAACATGTGTGCTTAACAAGACAAGATATCGTGTAGAAAGATTAAATGTAAAGAGAATATTGCGCAGATTCCAAGAATAGAGATTTACTTAATTTATAAACAACGATTAGACACCATCATTTGATTCCATTACATTGTGCCAGTAAATTTTGTTTCCGTAAGGCTTTCGAATAGCGTCAAAAAGAATAACCATTACGGGTATTTAAATCCTACCTTTCTGTTGCAGGCAAACAAAGACGTAAATCGTTAATATCTTTAGTTAGTTGCTGACTTTCCAAAAGTCGGTTTGCAATGGCTAGAACAAATAGATAGGGGATCACTATTTACCTATTTCTATTTGATCAATTTCTAATTGAAGTTTTGAAAGTTGTTGATAGCCATTGCTAATTTTTCGACGAATCTCAAAATATTTTGCTTCCTGAATATGATTTTCCTTTTTGACTAAACTATTAAAAGAGCCGATTTTGTATTACCTGAAACAAACTCCTTCTAAAAGCATCACCAAAATAAATAAATTAAGCAAACTACCTCCATTAAGTGTAGCTCCTGTTTTAAGGCTGCAAATGATTTTGCATTAGTACATATGCATTTATCATTGGTTAAATATTTTGGTAAATTTTTAACGGTCTCGAATACACCTGATGACATTTTGCAATTTTGCCGGACTCAAAATTTAAACAGTATACCGTCAAAAATGTTGGAACTAAATTTGACTATTTAAAAACAATAAAGCAAAAAGCATCGTAAATAACATTGCCATTTTGTTATACATTACGGAATGTAGATGAATCTTAAATAATACTATTGGAAAGAGTTACTACAATAACTTGGCCTGCTTTGACAGAAATCAGCATCACTTTAGCCATATAGAATGTTGCTATTTCAAATTTAATTTTGATTAAAAAATAAATTTAGTGGACTTTTCGTCTTATTTATGCATACTGGTTATAGTCTTGGTGACAGATATACAACATTTTTGTACTTAATTCATATTTGTAGCGGATTGCTACGCTAGTAAAGTCTTATCGACTCAGAAATCTATATGGCAGATTCTCCAACATCTAGCTAGACTCCCAGAACAAGCAAACCTATAGCCCAGCTATAAGGGAAACAGACGTGTAGCACGGAATACGTTTATTCGGTACGTATATTGATAGCGAAGTGTAATGTTGGCAAGGGGATTAATTATCAGATAACTCTAGCATAATTCGCGTGAACATTAATAGCTAAATATTTCTGAGTAGTATTCTATAGCAGGATTTCTATTTGGTCATTGATGGAGTGTCCCACATATTCACTTTACTTTCAGTCTTTTAGACTCTGTTTCTTTCTACATCACTATTCATAATGAAGAAATTAAGGTTCAAGTAATTTGACGTTATATTGTAAATATTTGAATGTTGTATATATTCAAGTTGATAAAATTTTGTAATTATGTCATATGATGTGAGTAGTATAAAATTCCATTTATGGTTATTAGAAGAGTGGCAAATATATTCCACCGAAGGCAATTTAGTAAATCAAAAACTTTTAGACTGATATTATTTCAGTGTTTGTTTCGAATATTTTCCTATGTTATACTACCCAACATTCTAGACAATTCTTAAGTCGCCTTTTCAATTATCAGGAATGATAAATAGAGAAGCAAAAGGGTTAATGTTTTTCACCATAACATTAGATTTAACTTGATTACAAACGTTTTGGTAACTGTTGTCGAATGAAAACGTTTAAAAATTACTGAAATTTCGTGACGATATGAACTATGAAGTATCTGCTTGCTTGGTTAATAAGAGAAGAATGGATTTTAATTAGGATCTTATTCACAGAGCAGCAGAGATGTCTGTATTGAAATCGTGTTAAATAATATTTTCATTTCGATATAGTACATAACTGATTTTTGTAGATCATTTAAAAAATTTCCTGGAATAATTAATTAAACTTTCAAAAATTAAAAACTGTCCCAACTAACTTGATATTGAAGTTGGAAGCATAACCCCATATACATAAAGTCAAATAACAGACGGTAGGCTAAAGTGTTCTTTGGAATGAAAATAAATTTCCTCATCGTTATGGAATGCTAAAAAAATTGGCATCCATAATATCGAAACGAAATGTGAGCAAAATTTATTAAGAAATCCTTTATCCAAAGGTTTGACGCTGCTTGATCAATTGGGAGCTAGATTAAGTTTAAAAAGTTTTTATTTAACAATGTACCAATTTTTAGTTGAACTTCGATTCACTAATATTATTTTAGAATTTTGTTATAAAATTGAGTGCTGCAATTTTCTTAAATGTAACAAAAGTTATTTGTAGTTTGAAATGAATATGTAAACATTAATGAGCAACTTATTATGAAGTAAACGACGCGCACCACTTTAACAAATGAATGTGCTTTCGCAAATTGAAGATTTAGTATTGCGAATAATTATCACATTAACTAATTCACATAATTCATATGATTCTAAGACTAGTATTGCATTTCGTAAAAGGTTTGACTTTCGTTCGCCGCGAATGCTTGCCCATGGTAACTGAATCATTATACAAACCTAAATTTTAGCACAAATGGCTCTTTTTCTCTCAATTGTGTATAAAGCCATTAAAAACCACGCAATCTTAACTAAACGATCTATTTATTATGAAAATCCACAAATATTTCATGGTCAATGTGTTATTGAGAGGCTCTTGATGCATGTTTGCGAACATCTAAATATAAATCGTCTCAGTCTAAATACGGTAATTTTATTTTTTCCTCACTGTGTCCAGGTTGCAACATCGAAATCGATAGCTTATGGCGACGCTTGGATTCATAATAAATCGGACTTATTTCTTTCATTCAAAACTTCCAAGGAAGTAGGCCTTCGCAAATATTATTACATTCATTTCATTCCAGGGTGTCACACTTCCGTGTTCAAACATTGATATCGATGGTTTGCTTAAATACATGTTATTTTCTTTCAAGATGTTTCGTGTTCAGCCAACTTTGTATTAGTTATTGAAAAGGATGCAACATTTCAGAAAATTATGCTAAGCGATTTCTACGGCGATTTCCAACCATGCCTTCTCATAACGGTATTATATCGATGTATTTGTAAATCTATTCGATTTAGTCGAAGGGCTACCCAGATCTTGCAATGCGCTCTTTCCTTTCTAAACTCTGTCAAAAATACCCTAAATTACCAATGTACGCATTAGTTGACGCCGACCCACATGGTAAGAATTCATTTGATATCCTGAAGTCTAGGTATCGGCATATACTTGACCTACAAATATGGATCAAAAGTAACCTATTTGTTTCAATAAATAGCAATTTTATAGAATCCATCTCTTCAAGCTGCTTCTGGAGCTGCAATATGTGTCCCTAATCTGAAATTACTGGGCATACTACCATCTGATCTGTCCATGCAAGAAGCCATTAGATTAAGTCATAGTTTTATAGGCTCCAAATAAAGCAGCAAGATCTACTACAATTAACTGACGCAGACAAATCCCTACTTCGAGGTATGAAAGAAAGATACTACTACAATAAAGAGAAGAACTTACAACAAGAGGTAAGATTTTTCGCCTTTAAATACTCTTCAAATAGATTGCTGTTGTGGAAACAACTCAAAAGAAAGCAGAGATACAATGTCTAGAAAACCTAGGAACAACATTCTTATGTTCCGAATACCTTCCACGTAAACTTCAACAAGAATGTATACTCCCAATTACCAGCCACCGCCGTTAAAAGATAATTTTAAGTGGTTAACAAAATTATGTTCTTTTTGTGTTAATAAAGTTAAATTCAGTACGCTTTGAAAATATTATCCTTAACAATAGAACCGATCATAGCATTGATCTGTTTGTAAGATAGTTTCGCAGCATCCTTTGCACACTGTGCAAGCTTTTCTTGAAGTGCACCGTGGTCATGGCTCGTTCGATCAACCTAAAGGAAATCAAATAGCTTTAAAACTGCATTCAATGACTTATTTAGATAGTTTAAGCGGTCGTCTCACACTAGATGCAGCATTTTCAACCTTTTTTGCGAGATCTGTAGTAAGTTTGTTTAAGTGATTCTCCTGAGCATTAGCTGCATCAGCACTGAGGGAGTTGAGCCAGTATTTGTACCAGAGCATGTTGATTATGTTCTTCTCAATGGACGATTTGAAAAAGCTTACTTCGAGAGGATAGTAGCTTCTACAGTGGACTCCGAAATCCTCGATCTTCTCCATTGGAATAGACTGATACTCCTGGGGGCCCTCATCTGGTGGCTTATAACCCTCGGGATAGGTACGAAAAGCTCCCACATGAACTAAACAAAGAGGGGAAATTAAAGCAATACACAAAATTCTAGCATTAAAGCATTATTCCAATACACCGGTCAGTTATGGCTTTACGAAAAGATGGCAAAACGAATTCGCATCGGAAAGCAAATAAAAACACTTAGATTGATCCATTTTGAAGATGTAGAGGCCAGCAGGGAGGAATGGAACAAAAAAAAGAGAGAAGAAGCAGAAAAAACGATTGTAATAAATCGGAAAAGCAAAGCTGAAACAAATACAATTGCAGATTATGTTAGTAAGAATTACAGAAAATTCAAATGGCATACTTAATATAATGTCATCAGGAGAGAAATCAAAAAGATATTGTAGATTAAAATGCGAAAGCAAAAACCTTTAAGATGTAATCAGGGGGGGGGGGGCAGTACAGAATACTTTTAACACTTAGGACTTCGATTCAGTATTCAAAATCATTCACTCCAACGAATAGGACACATTAGTGAGTTGCGTTGCATTTTGCAATACAGTATGAACAAAACGTTTTCACTAGTGCTCAGAAACGATCCTCATTATTAAGGGACAATTTTGCTAGAAATCACGATTCCATGAAAAAAATGAACTTTAGGAATAGTAATAATTAATTTTAACTGAATTCTATACGAAAAAAGACTTGAGTTTTTTCGATGCCATTGGAAATTATGAGCAGATAAGATTAAGTGCATAGCAAAAATTCCTCCCAATTTAAGTAGAATCATGCAGACTTGACATGGTCACTAGACCATGAAATTAAAAGAACCAACTCTCGGCAAAACACTTGATATTCAAAAGGTGTAAAGCAAAGATGAATTCAAAGGTAGAGAAGGGTGCCACATGCCTGAAACAATTCGACATGCTTCTGAGATGTTGAATTAGGCTAAGCAAGAGACCTCGACAATGAACAAAGTGACCCGCTGACAGCGACACCGACGTTCATTTAATACAAATGGGTGGTTTGTATTCCAATATGAAAATAATTCAAATAAATAAGGTAAACCAGTTTTAAAATAACGTGAGCAACGTGTATTTACCGTTTTCCAACATGTTAGAATATAAACAGAAGTAAACTGATGTATCGATTCACATACCCTTTCCAAATGACAGAGTTCGGATATGGTCAACAACAACTGCCACAAAGGGTTCTTGATATCTCTGATTGGAGCTTTGGGTACTAACATCTATTCCTGAGAGCCAGCAACCATAGCCCGGGTGAGAGTGATACCAACCGAGGACCTTTTCACGTCGACCCACTCTCTCCATGGATTCCACCTGTTGGACTATAAATTCGTAGGCTTGTTCCTGCAAAAAAAGAACATATAAATAGGTGGCACTTAATATAAGATGGATATAGTGTACACAAGCCTTTGTAAACGCAGGCATTAAATCAAATTAATGGTTACCTGGGGATTGACTCGGACCTCTGTGCCTTCAACCATAAGCGGAAATGTATCCATGACGATGATTGTTTCATGTGCCACCTTTCCTACAAGCATTCCCATTATCTGGAAATGAGGAAAAACACAAAAAGGCACTTCATATTCCACATCTAACGACAACTCTCCAGTTCATTCTGGGATAGACTTTTTAATGAATCATCTTAGTTAGAGGAGCAGAGCAACATTGAATCATTGCAGCGATAATCTTGAATTCTGCCCCCCTTCCCTTCTGGGCATCCCACCCATAACTATGGATATGTAGAAAATTAATCGTTGCACATCACATACAATTAAACCCCATTCGTTTAAGTAACTCAGCTTATTATAATCCTCTTTTGAGTACCTATCGATTCCCCAAAAATCATCCAGGTGACACACCAAATTGCAAATTTTAATTTTCATTAGTATTCGAAATTGTGGAAGAATTTACTAGAGAATATTTAAGTCAGTAAATTGGTGCACGTCTCCAATATTTAAATTTTTTCAAGACCCCGTAATCGTATTTTGATGGGTTATGAGGAGACTTGACAATAGATTCAATGTTTTGGGTATACTTAACCCATTCTAAAAAGTTATTAGAAATAATCAAATTTAGATAGTAATTGCCATATCTAATTAGATAAGAAACCAGCCAGTTTTATTAGAGAACTTCCCTAGTCCACTTAGAAAAGTGCTAAAAGCAATTGATTCGTTAAAAAGGATGGCAGCTCAGGGATGCTTTCGTGAGGTCACATTCTGCAACCCCCCACCCCATGGCTCTTGTCAACTGAAGGCCAGAATTATTAAGTTGGGCTGACCATCTACACCATAACTAACTGCTCAAGGAAGTATATGTAAGTGGACAACCGTATTACGATAATCGACATAACCCCAAATCACCAATCTCACAACCACATCCTCCCCTAGCGTAAACTAAATAACGTGGTAACTACTTTCGCAAGTCTTCTATCTACAAATAAAATTTTAAATGTGAAAGAGAACCACCCAAATTTCAAACAAATTATTCAAATTTTGTTTATATAGCATAATTTAATAGTCTATTTCAATAATAAAATGTTTTAATGGTTTTAAAGCAAGTCTGAAAAAATACCAAAAGCACTAAAAGTTAATGCCTTTATATATATATATATATATATATATATATATGCGAGGCAGTTAGAGAATTAAAAACCAGATCAAAAAAACTCTAAAAGGCGATTTATTACCCCTTGCCTTTGGAAGCCTTTCCACAACGAAATAGTGTACTATTTTAAATAGCTTAAGTCGTCTTACCTCTTTTTCGTGGCCGGACTGGGCGTGAATGAGCATCTTGAGAAGGGCCACCGATGAAATTTTGATGGACTTGAAGTAATGCGGGTCTTTAGTCCAAGGGTGGGCGTTGATAATGGAATGGTGTACCTCAGCATTAAATTTGAGGAATTCATCACCCAGTTCCTCCACATCATTCGCCTGTTCCCAGGTGGTCAGCGAGGGCGTTTTGCCACTGTTATCACTCGCGGAGCCATCTGGCTCTGTTGCCATATCAACTTCCATATCATCAGAATTCTTACCACTGGAAGATTCTGAAGACATCTGAGAGATGCAAAATGATGTAAACATACAAAACCATGTAAAGCCCAAGCCCAAAGAAACGCTACCCATCAATCAATCAATAACAGAGAAGACAACATTACCATTTTTTAATTTTTTTATTATTTCTCTACATGTGGAGAAATGAAATAAGAGAGTAAAAAGGCGAGATCACTCTATTTGACCACCATATATCGCAGGTGTGATTTGATACTCCTTCTACATATATAGATAAACACACATACACAACAGACTACATATTTGATGCGGCGGAACCTTGTGCGAATATAACCCCTCTTCATTGAAGGCCAACCCCACACACACATTATGAACGATTTCGGCAAGATGGTATTTGCGGTGACTGGTTGATTCTATCATTTCTGACGACCACCTCTGTTCTTACGAGTGTTTTTCTTGTCTGGCTCCAGTCCTTCTGATACCTTTTGATCTGAGGGGAGGGCATTGGAAATAAGCTCCTCAACCTCACGAGGCAAGACCACGGGTTTGAGGTTGGACCACATCACAAAGGGTCGAAGGGGTGTGACCGGAACGTAGGCACTTCGGGCCTTAATTCGCAGTGTCCTGTCGCCAGTGAGAAGAACGACTTGGCGGTTGAGTACCAATGGTTGATCTGTAGAATTAGGTAAATGTGTGTTAAATATTATATCACACACTGGAATTAAAACGAACAAACATACAAACGGAAAGAACCCCATAAAATAGGGCATGATTCAAAGATACTAGTCTTACTTTGTGACGGAACATTCACAACCTTCCTTCCTAGAGGTTCTTTACACAAGTGTCGACAGCAATCAAGGATAACATCATCGTTGTTCTGGTCTACCTGCCGGGTGTCAAGCTCATTGCGATAGGCGATGGTTTCGAGGATGTTGCCCTGAGCAGTGATTGCACGGAGTCGAGGATTACGTCGTTCGAATTCACCTTCCAAATAGATTATTGCCGCTCTGGCACGGTCTTGAATAATGTCACCCTTCTTGGTGTTAGAGGTGGGATTTACGAGGTACTCGGAGAAGGCGTTCTCAATCGGATTCAGTGACTGCTGTCTAGCCTTAGAGGCTAGGTACTGTAGCTCATTGAATACTAAAATAACACACGAATTGGCAATACACGCCTACCTAAATTTCTATATTAAATACCTTAAATTATACGCAAATTAAAAATAAAACATGCATACGAAAAGGTTTGAATTACAAGCAACAGCTTTTAGGGTGAACGTATTTTATTGTACTTTTCTGAAATGTTTCGAGAACCAGTCGACTTGTAGACTGGACTGGCGTCACGAAAAGCACTGGATAAATTACTCGAATATTCCTGAACAAGGCTGTAGAGGATGCATCCAAATAAGAGCTAACAGTAAAAATTTGGGTTATTGGGCAAAACAATACATGATTCAATCGTAACAAATAATGCAATACCTAGTTGGGAAAAAATCTCGTGCATTGCTTAAGATGAGAAGGTACCTTTAACTAATATATTATAATTAATTATAGTTAAAGGAAGAAGTGAGCCAGGTCCTATATGAGTAGACCCCTGATACATTTGAATGTCTAACTGAGAAGAATGTTAGACAACGAATACTCATAGGATACATGTTGAAACCATAATAAATTCAATATGTAGGCATTCAGTTATGCTAAGACTTACCAATAATTGGCACAAGTAATGTATAGTTTGAAGAGGTTTGAGCAAGTCTAGCAATGCCTTCCAGCCAGTCAATGTAACAGTTTGTATCCGGAACAATATACACCGGTCGCACTTCAATTTCCACAGCCCTTGAGTGGCCTGCAGCAGTCCTCTTTTCAGCTTTCGCTCTCCATTCCGCCAAACGACTCTTACTCTCAACTTGAGCCCTCAACTCATCACGCTTCCTACGTAACGCCTGAAACTCCTCATCACCGACATCCTCCTGATCATCTTCCGTCTCTTTCTGAAGCCTCTGGTTATTAGTCACGGCCTTCTAAAAGAAATATCGTGATTTAACAATAATACTGAAACAAAATTTAAATCAACTTCTAAGCAACAGTACAATTTAATGTCCCCTAAGGCGCATATAATATTACAAAGATATTCAAAAAGGCGTTATTTGACCAAGCATCCCCATATTAATCAAAGAAGTGAATTGGGAGATTTTGACCTAGCTAAGAGTACAAAATAACTAGCAAAAGGTAGTCAAGTCAAACGAACTTAGCACAAGACTTAACAATACTATGCTATATCGTGCAAACTGACACACCTTTTTGTAGTAATTTCAACGCCTATTTAAAGAAGTGCTTTCTTATGGTTATTTGAGTTAGAGATTCATCCCTAAGCCTCTCTGATGAGGAATTCGAATTCTGCCAACTCCTTTGTTAGTCCAGCATAAATATTGGGATTTGCTCTTCCGACCACTGAGTGCGTACCGACTGAAATCTAATCGTGATCTCTAATTCCGGAAACAAGCACTTTAGCTGCTGCGCTACCATTTTATGAAAACTTCACTGAGGATTATTTTAATTGAGAAAATTACAGAACCGATTGTCTAAAAACGATTAATGGGATCCGGTAACAATAGGCATAATGCTAATGTCACAAAGTGGGACGGTAGTCAACGCGCACATCGGTAAAGGTGGAATGTTTAAAATAACAATTTCTCACAAGGCCCTACGATTCTATCACTACCAATGAGGTGTGTTGGAAAATGCTTTGCTAAATGTGTTTGGAAGTTAGAGGCCTTTTAAACACTAGACGAAATTTATGACTCTTATCGATAATTCACGAGGTAAAGAGATATTAAAAGAAAGAACCTATTAATAATAATTGCAAAGGCCTTTTTGAGACATTGGCCTAGTTTTCTACCAACAACAGCCGGAAAGGAAAAATATAAAACAAAAAATCGAGAGAAATACGAAGATAGTCTTCCTTCCGAAAAGTATAAAACCCCGCTTTGACAGGAATAACGAAATAAAGTGTTTCCAATATACATAAATAATGACGATAGCTCAAAATAAGATTCAACTTCTACAAGCCTATAATTACTATCAGAAACTCATTTATCAATTACATTTAACTATCCTCTGATAGGTGAGAATTAAGGGAAGTTTGAACAAGAAATTACCTCATTTGATAGCAACTCCTCTGTCCTTTCTTCCAGCTCGCCAAGACCATTATCAAGTCGAGGCTTTTCAGACGTATCCGGCTCTTCAGGTACCGACTTCAAATAAACTCCATTATCAACGTCAAAGCTAAGAACCGGAGTCTCAATTCCGCACAGAAAATCCCCAAACAATACAATCTTTTCAATACGAATAAACTGTTCCACACTCTCCGAATCCCAATCCCCGGAGTATTGATACAACTTGGGAATGAGATCCAGCATAGGTTTAAATCCCGCAAAAACAGTCTCTTCGAACAACGTGCCATATTTCGGTCCTTCGATGGGAGGAGTTTGTCCCTTTTCTGCCTGTTTTCTCAAGTAATTCTGCACTACTAAGTCGTTTGTGGGGGTAATTTCCTCAAATCTAGGGGCATTTTTCACTTTCGAAATCCATTTTGAAGCCGCTGTGCACATATCCGCAACCAAGCGCCATTCATCAAGATGTGGACGTAGAACTGGGTCGCGATACCTAGGGGGTGGAGACCAGTGTTCTGGATGGAGGATCATCCACTCAGTCCACAAACGCAGTCCAGGCAAAAGGACTTTCAAATCAGGATGAAGCCAACTCTCGGAATTTGGGGGACCACCTTTAGACTCATTGAATAGTTTCGTGGCTCGGCGACAAATCAGGCTGAAAGTGTCAAGAGCAAATCTGGCAGCGTGGTCGTGGTGAACAGACCGGGCAGGCTCCGATCCTGCCGTGGTAGTAGATTTCATAGCGGTAGAGAGACTTGCAGATCGATCCAGATTGAACATATTTGACATGAGAATTTGGTAAAGACGATCGCGACTGATTGCACAAGGTTCTTGAGCAAGTAGACCTGAAAGAGCTTGTAGGGCTGTGGATGCCACATCAGGGAACGTTTCCATTCTAAAAGAATATATATATATATAAATACATAAGCACAGGTGCCAGCATGTAAGGACTGAGTAAGGTGAATCAAATTACCCAATTTTAGTAAATAGTAGCCCATGAGTATGCATGAAGTAGAGACTAAACGTCTTCGTTAGCTAAAAGGGAAAATATGAATTTGAAAGGATGAAGTATATCTAGCACTCATCAACTCTACAACGTTACAGGGTCAGGATGGCCATTATAATGCCTTTTAACAACAAGTAGACGTAAGGAATCAGTATCAACCATTGAATCTGTCAATAAGTACTAAGAGCTATTGAAATTTTGCACCTATCGTTCAGTAAATATGAAGAATCTATTTTTACAAAATGAATAACCATTGATTTTAGAATTGGACTGGTGTAATTACAAAGTTGTGGGCATAATCTCTCCTCTTCTACAATGGCATTAAACTTGTGTTTAAAATCATGGAATCAAAAAGTTCAGAAACAATAAGTTGAAGTTCTTACGAAGTCATATCAAGTAAATCTAATTACTCTCAATTCAATGAGAAGAAAGTGAAAGAGAAAATCTCAAGTGTCTGAATTGTGAAAGGACCTAATTCCGAGACTTAATTTGACCGACAATCTGGCCAATGGGAGGGCTGAAACCACTTGTTTTTCTAGACTAATACACCATATTAATTTGCATTCTGATTACTGATAAAACAATACGAAAATGACTCGCCAAATCTGCGAGCAGACTGATCTGTATAGATGATCACATGACAGACATGAATAATGTTTAAGAGTAGACCGAATATCTTTGTTGAATAAATCTAAGTAAGATCTTGCCTTAAGAAGGGGTATATTAGCATATTCTTCAGCATCCGCTTGCGCCTCTTCGGACTCTTCCTCACTTGCCAGGGAGCCGGGGGAATTGCTTCGTGACCTCTGTGCGCGAGCCTCCTTCATTCTCTGTTGAAGCAAGGCCCGTGGCACCACAAGACTATTCACTCCCATAACAATTGTTACCACGTTGTTCACTGGGTGGTACCAAATCTCAATTTTATTCTTCATACCCTCTGCCACAAAGTTAGCCGCTTCGTTAGCAGTCTTGGCCTCTTTTGTTTTCGTACCGAGATGAAACTGGCCCTTGAGGGGATTCTAATCAATACAAGAGAAAAAGGGAACATTTAGATATAATATATATGTAACAAATTAAGAGACAGGTATAATTTATTTTCGTTCATAATTATTCCGTGCCTTGTTATGGTCATCACTACGAGGCAACTACGGTAGCAAAAGAGCTTCTAACGGGACTAGAACGAAGCGTGGTCAACGCGCACGTTCGCCACGTCTGAGGTCATAAGATCAATGCTTATCTGTGAGCAATCGGTGATGTGAATTGATAAACCACACTGGACAATTTTGGTCTATAAGAAGTTCAAGATAAGAAGGCAAGTGCTCAGAGATTCCTTGGCCTCTTCACGATCAAATGTACAAAATCTGATAGGAAGTCGCGAATATGCCTAACCAAATGTGGAAAGTGAACATATCAACCGTCATTCATTATAGAGAAAATTCTTGAAATCACAGCTCTTGCTTTCATTGAGTCTACTGGCGATAGAGATAACACAAGTATAAATATGACACAACAGCAAAACAAAACCAAGTGACCAGACTCCACTAGGAGGTCGGTGGCAGAACACGAGTTTCCTACCGAAGAAGTTCTAACTTGCCCATTCTCAAACATAAAATACTATTGAGAACCACTTCTTTCAAATATAATCAAAACGAGCCCAACAATTAGAATTCCTCCTCAAGCTTACATTGCGCGCCCACTTGTTCCAATGGTCTTCATGCTCATGGAAGAGAGCAAGAAGGGTTTGCACAGCGGTTGGGAAAGGATTGCTCGCAGCAGATGCCCGCATGTAGTAACACATTGCATCCAATGGTCGACCCTAATGATTAAACAAATAGGTTATAAAGACAGCAATACAAAGATAAAACCAAGTATCAGCCAAATGAACTCTTCCATTTCCTTAATCAAGCATTCGTAATAACACCTGAGAGTAGTGATTCTAGAGTAAGAATTGTGACATTAAGAAGGAATGTTCCGAAAATCATCAAGGAGAAAAAGGTTGGCAATATTTAATTTTAGGTAAGGAGAGAGATAGTCTGTTGTCATTTTATTTAAGAAACCCATACTCTACAGAGAGCAGAATGAACAAGTGCGATTAGATGAAGAGCGGCGATCTTGTGACCTCTGATACGACAGAAGTGCGCGTTGGCCAAATGGCCACGTGTGCACACATAAAGTATAACAAATGCAAAACAATTAAACAATATATAGACGTTTAAATCATTACTAAGAGAGGGTAGAGACGTCACCAGTCTATAAATTTCATAGTCGATTCTAGGCACAAATAAAACTGCTAGCAGAATTTGCCGTGGCAGAAAGGTAATTTTCTATGAAGACTGCGAGAAGTGTAAGTGGTTTACAACTTATAAAGTTATAAGTACGATATGGATTTCGAAACTATTAAAGACAAAGATCAACGAACTCAATAATATCACATAAATGCCCAAAAGGAAGACTTTAATTTAGATTTTGAAAACCAACGACCCTGCAAATTTACCAAACATGCAAATTCCATGAGATATTTAAACGAAAATATGTTAAAGTGCATTTCCCTTAGATAACAATCACTCGCTTTACTCACCAATAAGCGTTTGGTTTAGCATAGACTGAAAAATCGTTATAAATTACACTTTTAAGAATTCTTACGTAGAACAAACCGCAAGAGAGGAGACCAAAAACGTTGACTAATGTTTAAATACAAATTGAATTTTAAAAAATCTAGTGTTATACTTATGTTTCTAATCTATAAAATTAGCAGGTGAATAGTTAGGTAAACGAGTATAAGCCATAACTGAAAATATCGATATAAGTAACTAAATCTAAACTGAAAGAAGAACACAGCAATCCTTCCTTTAAACCTAAAAATTACACCACCACCTATAAAACGGAATATAAATAAACGAAAGAAATAAAACTGACTACTTATCAAATGTGTAGGTATTCAGTGAAAAGTAAGTAAGTAAACACAGAATCGTACCATTTTGATTGAAAGAAATCCAAGTTGATTATAAACACGACCATTTTTGGGGTATATGAGTTGGGCTTTTAAATACCAGCTGAAAGCCAAGAAATTTAAAGGATGGAAAAAATGAACAAAACGGTTCCAATACAACGATAGAGGAAAAAATATAACTTGCCTTCTAGCTATTCCAAAATTTTGAGTATTATTGATAGACTCAGCGTAGCGGGCCAAATCACCGATAAAAAGAGAGATCTTCTGAGAACAAAGGTAGAACAGAATGACCGTTCGTGAGTTGGAATCCGGTGCAGGCCGACCTTCAGCCAAAAGATGATCCAAAGATATCTTATAGGCCTGCTGAAGGCTACTCAACAACTCAATGTAACGCTCAATACCACTTTCAATCACATCATCCAGAAGGGTCTTCTTGATCAATTTAACAAGTCCTTCACAAGCTTCAAAATCTATTTTTGCCATATCAATACCCTCAGCTGGCACTGATAATAACCTGAGCATACATTAAAAAACAGTATAATGCGGGGCGAGAGACTAGTATCATAGCAGAATTTAACAAAATCAACACCTACTCGGTATCAAAAGGATTATTAAGCCACCCGCGCATCAATTCAATAAGGTTGTAAAATATAGCCTTCCAAAGCTCCAATTCCACTTGACCCTCAAAACAGAAATTGAGATCATGAAGAATCAGGGTCTCAAAACAGGCGAAAAGATTCTCACGCAGCTTCTTTATTGAAAACCACCAACGGAGAAACAGAAGCTGGGCTTTGGAGAGGGCTGATTTTTCGTCTGAATTCTCATCGGGAAGAGGAGGCATATGGGGAGCACACACTCCAGGTGGTTTCATAAGAGTGTTTAGAGCATTAAAATAGGTTAAAATGTTCACAGCCGCTTCACCAACAACGGGATTTTGAGAAGTCCTGATAAATAAACATTAACATGAAAATCAAAATACTCCGATTATAAGCAATATGAAAATACATTATTACCTTGGTTGCTGTTGCACTGATTGCCGAAATGGGGGAAAATTGGACTCATTTGATGCGTCGCGAGCATCACCTTGTCTATTAGGCTTGACAACACGATTTGAAGTACGGAAATCGGATAAATGATTATTACATTTCTTTTGATGTGGACGAACAACCTGAACAGGTTTTGAATGTAGCTCGCTTTTGACGCTACCGCTAATACCGTCATTGTTTATAACAATCTGATTGTAAATATTCACCTCTTTGGGTATCTGAATAATTCCACCTTGTCTTGAAGTAGAACTCATAGAGTCTTGCTTATCTGTTTGAACATGCGAAGGAACACTTTCAACGGAATCACAGTAGTCTTTTTCTCCTGAACAGCCAAAATCCGTAGTATTGAAAGAATTAAATTCAGAATGAGAGATTTTTTTACCACGGTCAATTTGATCCCGAGCATTGCTACGAATAAAACCTCGAGCGTTACCACTTCCACGTGCGCGAATGTGACTCGGTTTTTGTGCAACAGGTAAGAAACCCATAGGATTATCAGAATTTCCATTTCTAAGAGAGGATTGGCAAGAATTTCGACACCCCTTACGGCCACGAAAAGACATCGCGATTATTGTGAGTTAACTAACCCGCAAGTTTTCAGTCGTGTAAAACTAAAAGAAGCGCCTAATACACAAATTCATTTTAATGTAATTTTGAAATAATTTCATAAATATTTTAAATTCAAAATGGTATGAGTGTTATTTTAGGTTACAATTTATTATGTAAAATAATTACATAGCTAAACGATCAACGCCTTTTACACCCACACACACACACACGCGCATATATATAACACTTTGCGTAAATTTTATACCACTCATATATTTTGTCTAAGTGAATTAATTAAATGAGATGATTAAGATCGATAATCTGAATTCCTTCCATGCGAAATGTTATCTTTATTTATTAACCAGAGGCAGAATTAAAGCATGATACTTTTATTATATCACCATTTTATCAAGCTCTTATGGTATAGCAACAGCTAACTTGTAAGTATGCGTTGATACGTGTATTATTATTCTTATATTATTTAAAGCTTTCATTCTAATATGCTGTAAATGTTTCCCATACGATCAACTAAACATTTTTATTTGGGTATGGAAGTACTCAACCTTGACCTCAAGAATGAAACTTCAGTCTGAAATGTCGAAATGATTCCTTTTTCGAGTTATTGTGTCATGGTATAATTAATGTTTATTTATAATTTTCATTCAAAGTACATGTTAGTACTTTCAATCTTGAAATTAGAAGCATTTGCCTTGAGCTGGCATTAAACAGTCTCAAGCAGCGGACTAAAGATTTGCGAAATGCTGCTTGACTTGAAGACCATCAAACGCTTTACCATTCATTTATTTACACTGATGTTTGCTAATCAGCGTAGGGTATCGCAACACAAGCACATATATAGATTGATTCAAGTAACCGTTGAAATCCGCAATGTAAAGGCAAAACCGTTAGAAATATTTTGATAACCACCTAACCACCCAATAGTAGTAGTAACAAAACCAACCAACCAAAAGTTTAACTAGTTCGCCAGCAGAGGAAATAAGCAGTGGATGTGTAAAAAGGGAGAAACACGTGTAAATAGATAAATAATAACATCACTACAAAATACACACAGACACAGTTCAGCTGAAACAGAGATACAGATAAATAGGTAGAGGAGGATGAAGTGAAGAGAGAGGTGGAAGTGATTATAGATAACCATTTTGTACATTAGCTCGAATAACCCGGGGCGAGAAACTAGATTAGGAAAGACATATTGAAGGAGGGATAAGGAGCAATACTAGATGGAGTTTGAAGGGAGGGGTGGTGGCGGAAGAAGACTCAGAGAAATTTTTTCTTGGTCGTCATCGTAGTTATTGTCAGTATCCATTGAGAATGAGCAACAATTTGAGGGAGTGGGAGAGGCCACAGTGGAGGAAGCAACAATGAGACCGTCAGGGCCATTTGGCCGTCGACAACCGCTGTGGGCAACGGGAAGAAATGCGCTGCGTTCACTGGGTACTAAGGAGTGAATTCGACTCTTCTTTATTACGGACTCTTCGTAAGAGTTGAGACCATTTGTGGCGGATCTAATAAAAAACTTTAGATAAATGGAACTTCTATGTAAGGTATTTCATTTTAAAACTCGAATAAAAACGTAGCAAGTACCAGTAAGTTACAGAAGAGGAGGGCAAGAAACGATTTTAAAATCATATCATAATGCGGAAAGAATATGGACACCCATGTGCTCACCTGGAGTAAGGCTATGTATAGTTTCATTTAATTAAAAATCATAGTTTGTTTGAACAAATAATTAATGAGAGATCTCATCCAACAATTATTCTAGTGCCTAAATGGGTATTTAAAATCTCTATTCCAGGGTGCTTATAATCATAACCCATTGTTTGTTTGTGATATTGTTGATTAAATTAGATACTAAGTTAAAATCGAACGACTTTGAGATTGAATTGACATTACTGTACTGATTAGTTTACTTTAAGGAAATTAACTAATAAAAAATAATAGATATAAATTTCTCTAAATTTCAAGTTAAGAAAAAAATCTGACTTGTATTGAAGAGATCTGTCTGCATTTAAGGAAGAAGCCCATTTCGAGACTTATCGTTAGCGGCAGTAAATATAGATCATCTCATTTGATCCCGAAGAACGTTATTAGAGAAAATGGCAAAGCTAGGGACAGTAGCAGACAAATAGATTGCGAGAGAGGGTGAGGGAGAGAGAGAGTAGAAACAAAGTAATAAAGTCAAAGTATCACAAGAGTCTTAACTTTAATTCGGAATAAGTCATGTTGTCTGTTCTGAAATGCTAGGTATAGTTCACAACAGGGACGTCTGAATCTGCCACTCAGTTAATTGACTGATAGCTCAAAGCGTATGAGCCAGTGAGAGGTGATTTAAATAAGAGACTACCTATGCAAATCCGAAGCATTTACCTATATCTCTATAACCAAATAGCAACCAGATTACATTAATTAAACTAATTTCTACCCTATTATATTATTTTTTTTCCCCAATTCGTTATCTACACTACAGATAACCGACCGGTAATTCACCTTCCCAATTCGAGGACAATGTGTATTCAACCCACGACAACATGAATAGAAGCATTGTCAAACCATATACAAAAGCAGAGACTTCTGCAAGCCATTAAATCACCTCCAAACAGACCTTCGAAAGAAATTTAAATCGTCTTGAAGAAAAAGTGATCATTATGGTCTCACCTAGGAACCAAATATAGGTTAATGGGATGCTTTTCGACGCAGTCACCAACATGATAGTTAATTAAAAGCAATGAACTTCTCCATTCTACCAACCCCTTACATGAACCGTCTTACCTTAAAAAAACTGGATAGATGGTCATGATTCCATTCATGTTCAGTCAAATCACATAACACACCTAAGTGATGCAAGGAGAAATGAAAATACAAGCAAACCTGCGCGTAAGCTAAATGATTGATTACACAGAGATTCAATAAATGTGCCTCTAGGTTTGACTTTAAGGCAACAAACTGAATAAAGTGAGTGAGGCATATGCGACAAGGATGATTTTCAAATCCACCAAACTAGTCTTGGAGTCGAAAAAGGCTAACTATTAAATAATAATTAACCCACTCATTGGTTGCGCACCGATGGTTGTCAGAGTCACGAGGTCTATCATGTCAAGAGGCCTTTTCTAACCTTAGCTGTCTATTTACGGTTATAAGACGAAACAAATGAGTGCGCGCTTTATGATCAACCAAACAATTAAATCAATCAACATTCTCTGAATATAGCGAAAATGTACTCACGTGGAAAGTTAGAGATCAATTAATGGAAAGCGGGCCAAAGAACATTTTGGTGCTACACTCTGAGTTACAACTTATAAGAAAAAATTGAGAAAGAATGCTTTCAGAATTATAAAAAGTAAGCACTCCTACCTCATTAGGTGATTAATTTCATCTCTGATAAGACTATGCTCAAATACGTAAGCAGTTTTTGCATCACCATTAGTTATTTAATAAACAAATAAAAAATAATGAAATCTTGACACCTACACTATTAAATAAACGATCAAGTTCACGACCTACAAACTATGCGTAAAGAGCTAATTCCACCACTCCATTTAATTAAATAGATTTGGTCAGTGCAGTTGGCCACTTCGCTCAATGAATGTCGGATCACGATCTAGCTTCGTAGACAAACAATGTAATCGCTTAACCCCTTGCGACATATACACCTCATTTTATTCACCTTTTGAGAGAAATGAGATCGCTGCTCCGCGAAGCCACAATGTCCAGAGGCAACACAGGGCCATGTTTGAGCACTCTGGGTCGAGTTACACCAGGAGCAGCTCGACTTGTGAACCAAGAGCGTCGACGATCGAATACGGAGATTGGGGGAGTTTGTGGGGAGTCACGGGACGAGACGGTTGTGGTAACGGTAGAGTTAGCGACTAGATGATAGGGGTGACCTTCTTCTCCTCTCAAGGGAGAAGAACGAGAGATTTGATTGAGCAATTCAGCAGAAGCGGAGGAACGAAGGGTTGGTTGGGGAGGTGACAATGGGTTACTCTCAGACCGACGGAGTACAGACCACTTCGGTAGGCGCTCTAAAGGAAATGAAAATCCAGATTTTTAAGTATTACTGTGTGGTGATATTGTACACGAGGATTATTGCACAAAAGATGATTTTCGAACTCCAGCAGGGTAGATATGCAAAAACTTGATAAAGTTAGTAAATATGATAGGCCCATCGATGATTGGATGTAACAATGGGGAGGGGGGCGGGGGTTACTTCATCAAACTGTAGTTACAAGATTGAGATTCAGTTGATTGACCTAAGAACCGAAAGACATTAAGATATTGCAACAAAGGGATAAAATGCGAAAAAGACAGAAAAAAATATACAGATATTTATGGCTCATTAAATAACTAAGTCAAGAACCTTCCAGAAAACCATATGGGAGGCTAATGAACGAGTAGTGTAGAGAAGATCAAAATTCAAACAACGTATCTAATTACAATGTTGAGTCGTGATTTATAATAAGAGCATAAGTCGGAAGGATGTTGGATTAAAAAAATAAGGAAAATGCTTCAAAGGATAAAACTGAGAAAACGGGCGAAATGCGAGTAAATGTACACAGATAAGTGAAGCAAAATTAGAGCTTTAGAATTGTGGAATTCTCAACATCCGTGCGCGCATGTATCTCAAAAATCTAGGTGACATCGTTTCGCTACCAAACAATACCATCAAGCCGGAACCAATTATGGCATCGATTTCGGACACTACATAATTGAAATATACTTCCGTGATTTTTGGCCGGCTTGCTGGCCATCAAGTGCAAAAGTAATGTTTATCTTAATTTGTTTAATTAGTGAAATGAGCCAATTTATTTAGGTAGTGAGGAAATGGCACTGACTTAACATAAACCTGTAGATTTGTTTTAATGGTTTATAAGACTGAAGAGTTGGATTTGAGGAAATTGGGACATATCACCCATTAACTAAGTAAACAACGCGGAGATGCATGAATATTATCCAATAAGTTAAGAACGTTTTAAAATTAACAATTTTACGAGCCTGCCCTTGGAGAAATGACGGTATTGACACTTCCAAGCATTCTTTACCACCAAAAGTGTCAATAGGAGAGACTAACCAGGTTTCACTCTAACTGAATATACCTTCTAACCATTTTTTCTAATACAATAAGCATTTTAAACAAATTCTGGGTTATTTACTTTCTAATAAAATTTTACTATTGCCAAAGGGCTTTACTAAATATAAGCGCCTATATAACACAAGCAGATTTTACACTTTCTTTGGAAAGGATCCAAAAACTGCTTTCCTTCTGTTCATTCACTAGACTTTTGTAGAATTGGTGTCAAATACTTAGAAAACAGACAATTGAGTTAAGATCTGGAGGATGGACGGAGTTTCAAGGCCAAACGTTGGAATGCATGCAGTCGTAAAATTTGCCGGATCATGATTTTTTACCTTCCATGAGGTGTGCTAGATGGACTAAATGTAAATCGAGTCATCTGTCATTCTGCGTGCTATGATTTTTATCTAAGTGCATGCTTCTTTTCATGGGAGAAGAACCAGATTAGTTAAATTTGCTCAGAAGTTTTTCCGTCTTTGCCAGATCATTTTCGCAGGGCTATTGTGTGAGAGAAATCGACCTCTGCGATGCCTTCAAAACCTTCGTTAAATGCACGCTTCATAGCATTCAATCGACTCTGGGCACTTTCTCATTTTCGAGGAGATCTCCTGTCTACTATCGACTACTAAATTGCTTTTCATGACTGTGAGCAACTTTCACACGACTGATGAAAAGAATTAAATATTATTCTCCAAAAAATTTAAGAAGAACGTCTCGTACATTTAGTTCGAATAAAATTGTCGACATAGGTCAGGGTCCGACTGCATGCGATAAATAGGCTATTTGGCACAGTTTCAAATGAAAAGCGATGCGAGTTAAATTTTGTTTGAAAACCCTGAGTTCACAGTTCACGCCTAACCCCATACCCACTCTATTCTCAAAAAGATTTCAAGGTCGATTGAGTCCCAAACACCAACACATAAGACATCTAGAGAGAAAACAGGCAAATACACCAACAATGAGAAGTAATCACGAGATGATACAGGCCTTGCCAAACACCGAGTGGGCATCGTCGTACTTGGCTCAATTACATGCCACCAACTGCACTCAACCATCACGCATACTGAGTATGCTCAAAATTAGAGTACCAATTTGGATATGTCACCGACATGATCACAACAAAGACAAATGAAGGCGCTTAAGGAGAGAGCAGGAAAAAACAATGAAGAGCTGCTAGACGAAAAATGAATATTTTAAAAGCAGGCATAGTAAATGAACCCTCTTCTTTTGCTTCGTGTGCCCTTCTAACACTCTTTCTTGGGCTAACTCCTTAGTTGTGTTTTCACCTGCTCAAAGAGAGGTTGAAAAAGAGGAGGGGGCGGGGATGGAAAGGGAAAGAAAAGGAGGGAATGAGAGTCCAACCAGGGGGAGGGGAAAAACAAGCACCACCACGGTAGGCGAAGGAAAAGGAGTAGAAGATGGCATCAAGAGACAAGGCAAGGGGTGTAAGGAAGTGTTGATGTTGTGACAAAATTTCAACCACTCTCATCATTTCTGCTAAACAGAGAAAATGAACGGAGGAGATTTGTGCGATTAGCACAAAGGCAGATCATTTAGCAGAAAACTCGTTTACAAAGCTGAGTAAAATATTTGGAATAATAAATAAGAAAAAGGAACCATAACTTGAGGGGTCTTAGCTAACTGAAGCCAATACTTTTAAAATGAATTCAATATTGGCTCGAAGCGAGTTGTTAATCGCTAAATTGCCAACCTCGGAGCTGTTCGTGAGCCACGAAATCACAATTTGCACCACCAGTAATCAATAAATCAAGGTGGAACGAAGTAACGCAATAGCATTTTCGAAATAAAAACAACATAAGGGTGCACGCGCCCGAGCTTCACGCTGAACACGTAGACACCCTAATGCGTATCGAAAATCAATAAAGGACAAGCAGTACTATAAGTGCGATTCAACTGGGAACTTCTAGTTAGAAAAACACTTATTTATTTTTCTAACTAAATATCGTCTCAATTTTTCCCGAATTGCGTTTTAAATTTTGCCTCTATTTGGCACTTAAAGAAGCTTGATATTTTTAGAAAAAAAACTATACTTACCTGAAAAGTAGATTGATGATAGAAATAATCCTTAATGTTACCCCCACATACAGATAAAATAGTCATAAACTGTTAACCAGGATGAAAAGAATTACAATCGTTTTATTGCAAAGGCTTATTTAATGCATTTTAGAGCAAGCCTCGAATGAACAATGCTGGCCTCTGACGTGCTTAAATATGCCTTTTTTAAATAAAGATATCTCTAATCCATTCACGCCTGTAGGAAGACAAAGAGCTACAAATAAAGCAACAAGACCGTTCGATATTATCAAATGGTCAGTAAGTTCCGAATAATGATAACCTCGGAATATTTTGATAAAATAAAGTGAAAAACGCTAATTATAAGAACGTTGGAGAGTAAACTCTTCAAGACTTTAAAAAAACCGGACTCCTAACTTCATTATAGATTTATATTGTCCCTCCACCCCTATCATTTTGCATTGCAGTTTTTTCATTGTCACGGGTTATAATAGTAAAATTAGAATAATAATAATAATAACCTTTGGTCTCAGTGATGCTAAGCAAACCAGAAAGTATGAATGAGTTTTGCTTAATAATATTAGAGGGTGATGGATAAAATACGTCAATAAAACCCTCATTCAACTGATGATCCGCATATTAGGGAAAATTATAGTGGTGAGGATAGTTTCTATAGAAACCCTGTCAAAATCGAGGCACAAAAATCGAGGGCACAGACGAATTGTGGTTATGAATAAATGGGTGCAAACAGCCCACTGCTACTCTTGTCAGGAATACTCAAGGGAGGCTAGATTAGGCTTCATCTTGTTATCTCATTGCCCCGAATACCTCCTCTAGGACTGGCCCCTGGAAAATTCGCTCCAGGGACCGTCTCGCACACTTGCCTTGCTCCCTATTTCCCTCCCATATTTGGCGAGATGCCAGAATACTATACTTTCCAATCAATCAACGTGTCTGAAAAATAGAAAAAAAATAAGAGGGAGAGAAGATGGCCACTAGGTGGGTGGGTAGGCAGATAGGCAGGTAGAGACTAGACTAAACTTGAGCAGTAAGGCGGCTCATTTATTTGAAACGAAATGAGATGATTTATAATTCGAATTAAATTTATATACTGGACACTTTGTAAAGTTAAATAAACAGTTAAATTGGAAGGCTTTAATGCTGAGAGGGGCGTTCTCCTGTTGGATACAAACAATTTTATTGTTGCCTCCTTTCACCGTACAAGAATTACATTTTGGGAATTTTAAACAAAAAAAGTAATTTTAATTAAAACCACTGATAATAGTATAATTTTTAGTTGAGTTGACCTCACGCCGAAATTGAAGAAAATGTAGAGGCATTAAGACATTGAATTCCACTTATGCAGTTGAGATGAGAAGGTACTGAACGCATCGATCGTAACAAACCCACAGGCGATATAATTATTAAAACATTCCTGTCTCTTAAAAAATGTGACCAGAATCATGTGAGACTAAAAATATTAGCAAGTCTTAGGTAATGCAAACTAATCACGAGCCTTAATATACTTGAACATCTGCCGGGTGTATGCTTTCTTATGTTACCAAGCGAATTTGAACCGGTTTGTGTAATAATGAAAATATAAGTGAATTCACCGTCCAACAGCCACATAAACGAAGATTTAGAATAAAACACTCCCCGAAAATCTACAAGCAAAGAACGTCTCATAGATAGAGAGCTTTCAATCCGAGTGTAGGCTCCTGAGAAACTACTAATGGAAACTGAACAACTTTAAATACTATTCCTCACTCCATTATCTGAGCTCTGCATACACGTTTATCTAAATATTACAGATAATGTAAACAATAACTGACCATTTTTATCAATTGCTATAAAGGATAAAAAGTTACTAAGGCTAAGTGTATTACTATTATTTCAAATATGGGGTGTGCGATGGACTTACCTCCTGGTGGTGCACCCTGGGCAACGTATACTCATATGGCAAAAAAGTCTATTAACCGGCAGTTGATTTCTGACTTCAAACTACCATCACCCCACTGTATGTCATATTCGACCACTTCGCAGTACTCACCTCACCTTTTTTCTACCCTTGTGTTTGTCTCTTTTACACCTTTGAGACACTCTTCTGCCCCCCCCCCTCTCGACTTTCTGTTACTTTGATATTCCTTCTCCTCGTGAAGCCTGAAGTCAACTAAAGGAATAATGATAACTAACAAAACGCCTGCCATTTGATATAAATAAATAAATTATTTCAAATATCAGGCTTTATGATATTTATCATTAGCCCCAGACTAAGTGTATCGAAACAAAAGAGTACCATCTTCGTTCTAATAAGAAATGTAAAGCCAAAGGAAGCAGTCGGAGAAAGTATCCATTGTACTTTTAAGGTCGAAAGTATTCCAACCAGTTATGCGCGCAATGCGCACATAAACACACGCACGCGACAAGGTCATTGTGTCGCGACGCGTTGCCAAGTTCTCGATTCTCCCCCACCCCCTTGCCTTAGGCCTGTCTTTTGGCCACAAGCCAAATTCCTACCTCTCTTCTCAGGATTGCCAACTAAATGAGTGACCCCTATAAAGAATAACCAATAGGAGAGAGCACTGTCAAGGTGAAAACCCCGACCAAGTAAATTCTGATTGTCTCCCTCTTTTCGATGTCTCCATTAGCAATTAAGAAGTCTTATTTTGACTCCATGTGCTTAGGTTAGTGATATGTTCCAGAGGCTGATTTAAAATATATATTGGATTAATTTAGCTCGCAACAGCAGAACAACGGATTGCATAAATCATGGAAATTAGAAGAATAGTGATTAACGCTTGCGATATGGCCTGACGTAATCGTTTTAAAAGGGGTAAAAATTATCAACACAAACACCCATGAATAAATATGAAAAAGTCAAATGAATACGCAACCACCGCAGAGACATCTCAGATGGGCAAGTGCAAATGGAGCATTGATCAAGAACTCGCATCACTACAATTAATCACGACGGATCTTACAGAGGAGAGACGGGGTTGCCTAAACAAACCATTAAATGTGGTGATTCAGATAAATGTGTATATGCATAGTAGAAACTCATGTAATGCCAAATATACTTATTGGCATAAGAGATATTCATTCACTGATCTTTTCATCTTTATTCGTACAGTTTAGCAAGTTTAGGTGCCATGGCGGTCAACCAGACTCGGTTGTAAGGTAAATGAGAACTTCGTCATCAACCCCAAGCAAGTAGAGAATTATCTAAACGTATAATTAAAGAACTAAATTTGGACCCCTTGTAAAACTCGATTTAAACTTATAACGCATAATGACTTGTTGATAGCACACATGTCTGTCAATCCAAAGTAGGTTAGGTTAAGACCTATTCCAATGAATAGAATTGTCATTTTCAATAATTGGTGCATACAAAGAGTGAGAAATTATGAAGTCCAAATAAGGGATAGTCTAGAATGACCTATCCTTTCTTGAAGCATAATAATGGAAAGGCTAACCACCACTCATAGGTGATGATATCATTACGCTTATCCGCTTCAATAGGCATCAAACGCCTAACGTCTAATTCGACAAGCAGGTAAATTAACCACAACGCCGCTTGCCACTCCCATCGGTAATTTAAACTCAATTTTAATTAAAATTAAAAAGAACTTTTTTGAGAAAATATATTTTGGATACTTCCTAACCTGGCACGTAACTAAATCAGAGAATATGCAGTCAAAAAACGCAACCACAACACAGATACCCCACTCCACCCCCCTGTGTGTGAGAAGTTTCCCATTGGTGCGTGAATATAATGCCAAATAAAGTTATTTCTTTGTTTTGAGGAAGCTAAGTCACAGCTGTTTCCAAAATAATTTTTGATTCATTAACCACGCGATGCACCTTTTACGTGTTGCGTAAATTGAATGAAATTAGGAGGTTAGCTAGTTTTCAATTCAAACTAACCTCCATTTCGCAATGCCAGTCCGTTCCGAGAAAGAAAGTAAAACTAATGTCTCTTTTATTTAAAAGAAGCACAAGATACGAATTGGGTGGCCATTTGGATGTCGGATAAGTAAAGGACCGTTTACTATCACTTCAGAATAATTTGCAACGACGAATTGAAGATAGAAATAAAGTAAATTTTCTAATGAATCATTTCGACCATCCCAGTAATTACAATCTAATAGTGGGGTGTGGAATAGACTTACCTCCTCGTGGTGCACCGCGGGCAACGTATAATCATACGGCAAAAAAGTCTATTAACTGGCAGTTGACTTCTCACTTCAAACAACCATCACCCCCCACTGTGTGTCATATTCGAAACCCTACTACAGTACTCATCTTACCCTTTCTGAGCCTTTGTGTCTGTCTGTTTCTTTTACATCTGTTAATCACTTTTCTATTCCCCCTCCCGAATTCTTCTTACTTTGATGTACCTCCTCCCCTCTGTGAAGCCCGAAGTCAACTAAAGGGCTAATGATAACTATCAAAACGCCTGCCATTTGTTATAAATAAATAATCTAATAGTTGTATCATTTTAATAAGCAGACGAAGAGTAGAATTAGAAATCCATTCAGGAAAATCTTCACAGCAGGCTAAGTGTGTTCTAGTAAGATGTACTGGATTAGCTCTGATAAGAAATCCGAGATCTATCATTCCTCTTGCTGCGTAGAAATAATCAATACGGTCAGTCGGCCACATTACTGGATGTGCACCGGTGGAATTCGATACTGTGAGCCATAGTGATTGGATGGAGGCAACTTAAGTTAGCTGCAGTCAAATTTTATTATTTTCTTGCCACAAGTTCAATTAAATGGACTCAAAATGGTGTTTGGTCATTAATCATGTTAGCTTTATTACTGGTTATAGAACTATTTTTAATCAGTAATTAGCAACGGGTGACGGAAGTGAGCCATTAACTACCTACGTTAACCTGTGTAATAGTTGATAGTTGACCAGTTATACAAAAATCAGATTAATTCGTAAAAAAACATTTTTCCAATGTGAGCGCAAGTATATTCAAATAAGCCCACATTATAAATATCCGTTTCGTATGAGTTTTCTCACGAATAGTAACATTGCCTAACTTAAATCAATACAGATCCATCTAAGACACTTTAACAACTGATTGCCTGACGAAATCAAAATCCAGTGAGAAATTATTTTAATGATTTAGTGATATTGACCCTAACCCTAATCTTAAACAGGAGGACATGAGAGTGCCCTTTTTGACTATACGGAGTACAAGGCAGTAGTTTCCTTACATTTTGAAAAAAAAATTAAACCAAAATAAACACTCCTCAGCTACGTATCTCATAAACGGATGTACTTTTAGATCCGCACTTGCTTATTAGAACTTAACGTTACACCAATACAAAAAAACCTTCATTTATAATAAGACGCTGTCCGACCCTGAAAGCCAAAATATATCTAATTAGGAAGACCTGAAGGGAACTAACCACTAATGTGGCGCATAATTAAAAGCTATAAATTTCTGCACAAAATTTAAAATAATCAAATAAATTATTTTAGAGAGATAACATAGGGATTTAGAGAGAATTAACTATGCAATATGGAAGAGTTAGCTAAACTTATAGTGATATGAGTTGAGTGTTAAGCCTTCCCCGCCAAGTTCCTGTTCTTTCCTCTCCTTTTCCACATCTTGGCAACGAGCCAAAACCCAACGTGCGCCCGTGATGGCAAACTTATGTTCTTCTATGCCCCTAGTGCACACACTCCTGGAGTTCTATTTAGCCCTCTCTCTCTCAATAGTGGACGGTCGCGCAAATGCTACTACTAGAACGAGGTATGTGCAGACGTATATGCACCTGCCGCTGCCTCAATCTCCGGACGCACGTGAGCAATAGAGAGGGGGGTTGGGGTAGGTGGCTAGCTTAGGGTCCAAGCTGCGGTCGGTCAAGATATAAGTGCAAGTACGCGTAGTGGGTCGCACCCGCAAGCTCGAGTGAGACGCGTGTATGCATGTCCTGAAATCAACGCGATAACGACGACAGAATATCATTAAGTTATTTAGTCCAACCGACATACAGCCAATTAGCACGATGCCAATCCGACTTCATCAGCTGATCTCCACCCTCCACCGTGCCTTAAACTCATGAATTGACTCAGACTCAGCGACGCGATGAGAAAAAGACATATCTTAAGTGAGATCACTCCCTCCCTACTCCTAGAGTAAACCAGGCGAGGGGGGGGGGGGGGGGGACGANCGGGGGGGGGGGGGGGGGGGTGGGACGAACAGAGTTGCCAAATTATGGTTGCCAAAAGCAAACAAATTTGAGATAAGGCGATTAAGACATATTGAAAGAAAAGGATTAGAAGTAGATCAAATCATGGCGGTTGACTTAGAATATTTAGAATTAGGGCAGTAATAAAATCAACTTAAATTGCCTCCTATTAAAAATGTCTAATTAACGTGGTTGGTCATTATATTCGTCCAGTGTACACCAATGAGTATCAAACCTAACATCTGGCAAGAGATAGATTTTCCATTCTAGACAATACTTCGGAGTTTTTAAACCCGTCAAGTGTTTAAGATTTGAATATGAAACACAGCTCATAGAAGCTTAAACTAACCTCCAAATATTACGGGGGTCTGGAGTATATTTGACACCGAAGTTAGGGGTTGAACAAAGATTGGAGACGCAGAAGGTGGCTGCGGAGGAGACAGATTCTCTTGATCCAGATTGAGACCCACACTTGTACCAGGAGTCTGATTTGCTAGAGGAGAACTCGCTTCTACAAAGTCAGAAGCCGGATGTATCGGAGCAGTAGGTCGATGAAGTCGATACCAAGGCGCTTCACCACCATCCATAAAACTGAGCGTTGGAGAAGGAGTGAAAGACTTGGGCAAAGCACAATCATCCATATTCAACAAGAGACCCGGAGGGGATACTGCAATTGGCGGAGGAATTCGATAGAAACTACGGGTCTCCTAATAAAGAAAAGGGGTTAGCAGTTAGGCACCGATAAGAGAATAGCTAGTAGGCAACACGTTCCATCGAACCTACCACTATCGACATAGTATCCACTCGACTAGCAAGTCTGCTAATGCGACCCGAAGATAGTGAATGTGATCCACCGACTGGTAATTTGATTGTCCGAACTGAGAGACTAGTTAAAGGTGAGGCAATTGGCGATCGAATGATCCCCTAAGAAGCAAAACAAGCGAGATGGAAATTAGACGAAGTAGACCACACTAATAACTACAAGTTAAGAAGACAATAGGGTTTAATGATAGAAAGTTGAAATAAACGTGACTTAGATGTGAAAATGCAGCAACTACAAGGCCTCTTTGAAGAAGAGAGAGAAAAGAGTATGTGAGAGGTGAGAAGTCGTGGCGTAAGAAGGTGCCATTTAACGATCATTGTTTAATAAGTGAAGAGTACTTTAAAGGCTGAAATAGTCTAAAGAGAATGATGTCAGAGAACACGAAATTAGCTTTTTTAATCGTGTTCTTAAAGTAATGGTTGACAAGTTACCATAGATAAGGTCCACCTTAAGTGAATTAAAGAGAGTTACGCTAAGTTCAAAATGTGAGAGCTGATCTTACTTCCGCGCAAGACACAAAGAATAAACAAAGGAATCAAGGTATCCTGAATAGACATTCAATTTCATTAGGTGGTCCATAAGCTCTGAGTGTAACCGACATGAGCTCACCCAGTTATAAAGAGATCAAATCATTAAAACTGAGCTTCAAAACAATGCGAAAAAGGAACACTCAATGTTTTCAGCATTCAAATAAGCAAGATCTTTAGCTTCATAACATCTTCTTACTCAAAATCTCCTCGTTTCATCTCGGATTGGCTTACTTTGATATTTCCTGAATTCCTACGCCATTCCGTGATTATAATGTCCACAAGTGTTTTTTTTGTATTAAAATAGGACACCATCTTTATTGGTTGAGCTTACAAGAGCAAATTTAAGGAATTTCGAACTATTTTATTCATTAGTTTAAACTACTTGAATAATGAAGATTAAATATCCTTCCGACTCCTAAAAGCTGAAAAAGATATGGATCTAAGCGGATATCGTGACCCTGAACGAAGACAAGCATATAATTACTGGTAATACCTATTTTATGTGCTTAATAAACCCAATTTAAAACAAAGCTTGTATATTACGCTTGAATTAGATTATGACATTCTATTCAACAAAAATAACTAAGTAGGAACTCATAAATGGAATAATTACTTAAAAGCGAAATAGGAATATGAGTAAAAAAACAAAATAACAAAAAAGTAACGAATCCTCTTCTTGTGAAAAAGCAATTAACAGTTAAAAAAGAAGAGAGCGAGGCGCATCTTTCGGCCATTTGTGATAGTAAGGATAATTTTTGTGGCTTATATTTCCGAAACAAAATTGAAACAATCTTGTATCAAGGCGTAACAAAATGGAAATGACCTGACAAAAGGATGAGAAGTAAACGGATTATCTGCCTACCGTTTAACTGATAAAATAAAAACCAAAATATACGGATTTATAGCATAAACATGTGTGGACGCGTGAAAATAACGTAGATTTTCAAGCAATTAAATAAGTGAAATTAAGTAATTAGTGACAAAATGAAGAATCGATTTTTGCAGGTTACTCCGCTGCTTTGCTTTAGACTGACTGGCCTTGTTTAATCGATTGCCAATAACTGCGTGTTAATTGCACTTAACTGAACTTAAATACGCAAAATAAGCGTAAACTGAAAGAAATAAACTGCAGAATTAACGTGACAATCCCGCAAAAAAAGGCAAAATACATTAAATTTTAGCAATTACACAAATTGTTAATCAAATTTGAATTCTACCTGCATTTATTTCGTGGCTATCGAATGCTCAACCTTTTGAGCTCGATGAAGAAATTGGGTAACGTAAAAGATAACAATGTGATTAAGAGAATATTTACAGAAATTAGCACGACTAAAATATAATCATTGTTAATAAAGCATGAATTGGCAAGAGAACCACCACTAATATCACACCTATCTTGTAAATTGGTTGAGAAGTTCTCTAATTTATGACTTGTATCAAATGGTAGGGAAGACAAAATGATAAAAATTCCCCACTTTTCGAATATAGGAGTGGGTGTTTTAGCATTCAAATTAGCCTGCTTTTAAATTCAAACACTGTCAAAAAAGGAAATAAAATTCGAGGTTAATACAACAACTTATATCAATTTTCTATACGATATAATCAAAACTGTGATAATCAAAAGAAAATTGACGACTCAATACCTTAAGGATTCAAATAAGTTAATATGCATTTGATACCATAAAAATTGGCAGCCACTATACTATTTCGCTGTCATCCATGCTCAAACGATTTTCCAACAATAAAACTTACTGTTATGGGTAATACGAGTGTCAGTGAAAAAAAAAGACTTGGAAGAATACAACCATTTAACTTTTGGCAAAAGAGAACCAAAATACCCCTCTTTAAACTAGTAATACTAATAACAAGATGTATTTTTCAGCAGCAGCGATAATAAATAAGGCGCCGGATGGAGAGGAGCAAGCAGTTACCATACGCTCAGCGAAAAGAGAGGAAATGGGAGACAAAAGACATACTCTCCATCCCTTCCCCCCCCCCCCAACCTGCCCTCTCTGAGTACTTGCCCTGCTTGAATGCCACCCGTATCCCCAATCCGCACATTACTTCAGCCAGCCGGGGAAAAGGCAGCCCTTCTTCCTGAATACAAACACATATGAATTGGCGACGCAGGAAAGCTCTGGCACGATGCCGAGAATAAGGAGAAATGGGGAGAGGGGCGGAACACAAATGAATGAATCACCGTGTGTGATAGGCGCGGCGGATGGAACTTGGCTTGCTTACCTTCGTGGCGGTGGCTGAATGCTAACCAAGTGAAAAGAGGAGCAAGGGAGAGAATTATTTTTCTCTCCCCCTCTAGGGAGGTCCCGTATAATTGTCGCTTGTTTTTATTGGCATCAAGTAAGGAAAGATTGGGGAGAAGGGAGGGTGACAACAAAACTCGCAATATGCTTCTATCTTTCACTAACACTGTGCGAAAATGTGACGAAGAGCGTTAGTTTGCTTTGGGAAAACTTCGTACTACCATGCAGCACGTTGGGAAAAAAAAGATTGGTGTAAAATTATTTTCTAAATGCCAAAATACTAAAATCAGAAAGTATCTTGATGGCAAAATAAAATGGCCAAATCAAGAGATACAAGAATGTTCTGGATTCGATTTAAGTTTAGAAAAGCCACTAAATTGGGCGAAGGATTAGAGAAGGCCCAATATACGTCCTCTAATACCCCTCTAGAAAAAGAGTCGCATCCAAAAAAACTGATAAGAAAATTGAATTCCGCTATCTCATTATTAATTTTTAACGAATAAAACAGTGGTTATGCCAGTTAATGAAAGCGGAATGATGAACATCGAACGTGTTACCTCAGATTTAGAAGATAAGCATATCGTAATCTTGAAACGATGTGCAGTACGACTGAAAAGTAATTATTATTCATACAGATCTATAAAAAACGCCAAACTAAAGAAAAACTATTAATAAATTAAAAAATATAAGTTAAATAAGGAAATTTTCTGCAATATGTTAGATTTTTCACTTCTTTATAGAAAATTAAAAGCTAAAAAATGGCCGAGGTATTGATAAAACGCAACAGAAAAACAATAGGCTATTAAAACTTACTTATGAAATAGGCCCAGTAAAAGAGAAAAGTGAATCATTAAGTAGGAAATAATTAAGAGAAAAGAAATTCGAAAATTTGGAAATTCTATATCAATGTGGTAGATGAGACAATTTAAGACAAGTACGCACCAATAAAGATTGATCAATCAAAGAATCACGTAGAACAAGCGTAAAAACAATTCAAGCGAATTTCATAGAAAGTCAAAATGTAATCTGAGTGCAACAAGACAAATATATCGAAGGTCTTAGGCAAATAAAAAATAATGATGCATTTAAATCGGGAATTAGCAAAATTTCAGTTAAATAATACCGTAGAAATAAATGAAGAGCAGGCTAGGTAAGTCTTAAATCATACAAAAGACATTCACCCTGGTTGCAAAACGAAAAAAATAACTTACAATGGGAGAATTCGGTGTTGATATAAAAGTTGACGAAGAAGGTCGACTGAAATTCGACATATTCGTCTAAAGAGATGAAATTTATAAATTGAAGATATTCTACATGCATCAGAAAATTTATCACAAAATAAGTAAATGAGTTTCTAAAACATATGTATTTAATTTAAGGAGTATGAGTAGCATATGAACAAATGTTAAAAAATAGCAAATAAAACGGTTATTGGAAAAAAAGCGGACTACATGCAGAAATTTCTCGTTGACACATTAAGCATTTATATTTTTATAAAAAAGTCGTCAGTTTACCTTAAATATAGTAGGATAATTCAGAGATAGTTAATAACGACATGCTAACGACCCAGAACACCCCAACGGCCCAATAGTGGGTGCAAACTTGTCAAACGACCCGGATTTATGTAAGTCATTGTGTGACCAACAAAACATTTCAATAGAACAAAGGATATGGGTACAAAATATCGATAAATTAGTTTCTCTTAGACAACCTGATTTATAAATCAATTTTAAACTATTATTTTTAATAGAATGCATTATATTTTCAAGTTATCAACTTCTTCAACTAATCTACTTAAAAGATAGTTTAGGTAGAAATATTTGACTAAGTAACAGTAGTGTGAACGGCATTTACTATAATCATTTTATTATTATAACGCAATCTGGCATTAAATTTTCATTTTCTAGATTTTTATGTCATTTGCGTGTCGAAATTTCAAGCCAATTAGAGTTTTAATAATCTGCTATTTTATCAAAATGAGAATCTCTAATAAACAATATCCTATTCTATTCAGCAGAATAGTTTCATGTCTGTAGCTTTTTCGTAATTAATTTATTCTATATGAAGCATTAAAAATTTTGGCATTATAGTATTCTTTGAATTTGGATAGTTTATGTGTATCTGAATAGACATTGATGTCTCGCAATTAAAGTGGAGAAAAAATCTGTCAGTTCCATTTTTTACTCGTCCTTTGGGTAAATATATGTTGTAGTTTTTGTCACCTTAGAACACGACGGTCACCAAATTTTGATCTGTAAAGAGTAGAAGTAAGGTAAGGTTTCTAGTAAAAAGGCAACTTTAGTTAGAAGC